AAACCAAAACAGATAATGATCATCCCAACCCTAGCCACTCAGCAGCCCTGTAAAACCTTGCCTTTCCCCTTTTCTGGTTTTTTTTTTTTTTTTTTGGTACCGGGGATCGAACTCAGGTCCTTGCACTTGTGCAGCAGGCGGCGAAACCGCTGAGCTAAATCCCTGACCCCTCCCCTTTTTTAATAGATCAGTCTGATGTCCTTTTTCAGAGTTGTGCCCCATTTGGCTCTTCTGAAGCTGAAGCCCCTTCCCATTTTCTCCTCAGTAAAAGCTTTTGCCTATAAATTCATGCAGTAGCCACAATTTTAATTGCCTTTATCACTAGAAGGACCCATGCTGGTTGGTACAGCTTTACCCTTGGGAAGAGGAGGCCCGTTATGATTTAAATCTAAAGTGTCCCCCTAAAAGGCTATGTGCTTAGAGGAAGGCATTTGGGAAATGATTGGCTTATGAGGACTCTAACTTCATCAATGGATTAATCCATTGACAGGATCATAATTTGATGGCATTACTGGGAAGTGGTGGAAATGAGATGGGGACCTTGTTGGAGGGAGTGGACCATGGAGGTGTGACATTGGGGAATATATTTAGTCCCCAGTCCTTCCCCCTGGGTGTTTCCTTCTCTCTCTACTTCCTGGCCATCAAGAGGTGAGTAGCTTTCCTCTGCCACATTCTTCCGCTGTGATGGTCACCACTGGCCTAAAACCAATGGAACCAGCTGACCATGGACTGAAACCTCCGAAACCATGAGCCACACCAAACCCTTCCTCCTTTGACTTGTTTTTCACAGGCAACTCACAATGATAGAAAGCTGGCTAACATAGCTCTAAAGTAGATAAATCTGGCCAGGGATTTAGCTCAGTGGTTTCACCGCCTGCTGCGCAAGTGCAAGGACCCGAGTTCGATCCCCAGCACCAAAAACAAAAAACAAATAAAGTAGATAAAGCTGATCTTCAGGGAAACACCTCCCCAAAAAAGAAAAGGAAAGAACCAGTACTTGAAACAGTTGTTTACCCATCATGCAAGTACTTATTCTCCCTTCCAGCCCACCTTCCTTGGACTTCTGATTCTCATTTTCTCTCTCCACAGACTCCAACCTTTTGGGTTGCTGTTCACTAGGTAAGGAAAACAGTCACCCTGAGTTGGGCCAATTAATAATTTATTTTCTTAATTAACATATAGTAAAACTGCCTGTCTTTGTTTCTTTGTGTACAGGGTATGAATTTTAACATATATCAGGATTCCTGTAACTGTCAACACAGTGAGGGTGCAGAATAGTTCCATCACCCCAAAGCCTCCCTCCTGCTACCCTTTATAATCACTCCCCCCCCCCCCAACTCCAAGGCCTGGCAGCCAGCGCTCTGTTTTCAGCAGAAGGTCACAGGAATAAAATAATGTGGGAGGTAGCCTTGAGCTCTTTAATTTTTGCTGAGGTCAAAGCAACTCCTTTTGATGCAAAATCTACTCATAATTACACATTATTTATCAAGTTAATGACCCATGAAAACAGTCAGTTAGAAAACAGGAATGGGATGTTCTGGGCAAAAACTCAGGTTAAGCAGAAATCAAGCAAAGTATTTTTTATAGTTTGACCACATAGCAATCTTTGTAAAATAATGAGTCTTTACTTCCTTCTCAGGAAGTAGAGATTAATGAATGCAAATAGTTTTTTTTAAAATTAAGGAGCTCAGTTAACAGCAGAATCCTAACAAATAGCATTTTCTTATATTTATAAGACACAGTTACTGATATCACTTGGTCTTTACAACAGTTTGAGGGGTAGCAATGCAGAAAACTTTTATTTATTTATCATTTCAGGCTGGCCTTGAACTTTGTGATCTGCCTCAGCCTTCTGAGTGCTGGGATCACAGGCGTGCGCCACTATGCCCAGCAATGTGGAGAACTATTGATCTGAGATATTTTAAATAAATGAAGACATTTGGACTCAGAGAGATAAGCAATTTGCCTGATCATTCTGGTGAGTAAAGCCAGGATATGGCTCCATCCTCTGGATCTTTCCATCGCTTAAATCTGTTTCCGTGGTTATTGTGGGAATACCATTTCCTGTGGTTCCAATCCCTAGGTTAAAGTGAAAGTATTAGAATAGAATTTTTTAAAGTGTGATTTTTCAGACCGATTTCATCAGAATGCTTGCTAAAATGCAGTATTCTTGACTCTACCAATATCTACTGAATTTAAAACCTCCAGTGGTGGAACTGAGGAATTTACTTTTTGTTTATTTTTGAAACAGGGTCTTGCTATGTAGTCCAGGCTGGCCTTGAACTCATTATATAGCCCAGGCTGACCTTGAACCCACAGAGATCCTTCCACCTCAGCCTCCTGAGTGCTGGGATTATAGCCATGTGCCACCATGCCCAGTGGGGAATTTACTTTTTTAAAAAAGCTATTCTTATGTGTGCTAAACTTCAGCAGACTGGGCTGAGTGTGTATTGACCCTGGAACTTCCCTAAGACTGTTATCCTTGTTTTTAAATAAAGCCCTATTTGGGAATTCTTTTCTCTTACAAAGTGGGGCTTCCACCTAAAAACTAACTTTATCTAGAAAACTAAAATAAGCTAACTTCCAGATAATCAAGATTTTATTGTCTTGTTGCTTTGAGTTTCTCAAGCACAGTAAGAAGATTTTGAAGTCTCTAAGACAAGGCTTGACCTGAATTCTAGGGGTGTTGGGATTTTTATAGTAGAGGCCCGAGTCATTCATCCATTCACTTATTTTCATGCTTATGATGATTTTGGCTGCATGCAAGTGAAAATCTGGACTCTAGCAGCTCCAACAGCAAAGGTTATCTCATGTGACAAATGTCTGAATATAGACTGACTCAGAGTGGTTTAATTCATTGGCTCAGTGCCAGTTTCAAGGAGCCAGCTCTTCCTATCTTTTGCCAACTCTGTCTTCGAAGGTCACCTTTCCTGGCAGTGGCAGAACAGCCATGATTCTAGGTGCTACATCAGCTACAGCAACATCCAGCCAAAGAAAGGGGATCAGTCTTAGATAAAAGTTAACAATATCGGCAGCCCATTTGTTCTGTGATTATTGGTGGGTAGGACCTGTGTGAAGGGCTGGGGATCTAGTAGCCAATTAGACACAGTTTGGGCCCTGCCAGATCATTCTGAAGGATTTAGACAAGTCAACAAGGGATTATAAAGCAGTGCAAATACTACAATAAGGAATTACCGTGTAGGATATCACAGAAGCACATGAAGACGGGTGGATATCAATGGATGGGTGGTATTATATGTATGTGCAGTCCAGAAGGGCTTCTGAGAGGAAGTGGGGACTAAGCAGACTCACCATGGGATGAGTAGGAATCAGCCCGGTGAAGTGATGCATTGGGCTTGAAGGAATGAGAGCACTCCGGGAGAGGAACACCAAATGCAAAAAGTCCAGGAAGCAAGAGATGTGGTATTTGGAGAACTCAGAGGAGTTTTCCCTGCACAGTACAGGCAGGGGAGAACCACTGGCAGATTTTAGAAGTGATGTGGCTATGACCGTTCCTGTGTTTGGAAGGACCATGCTGACAGCAGGAAGGGACATAAATCAGTAGTGTGTAGGAGTGAGGCTGGGTAGGAAGCATCATGAAAATCAGGTGAGAAGCGATAAGGTTACAAAGCTAAGGGAGTACAGGTGGAAGTGGAAGAGGAGATGAGCAGTTTAAGAGAGATTGAAGGAGAAGGTAGGAGAAAAGGAGTTCAAGATGATTTCTGGTATCTTGCTTGGGTAACAAGTGGATGAATGGATATTCACCAGCAAGACAGAGACAGTGGATTTGCGGTCAGTCTTGGGGATTGAAGGGAGGGAGGATGAGTCAGAAGTCATCAGCTCTGGGGCAAAGAAGTGATAGTTAAAGGGATCCGCAGGGAGTGAGGAAAGGACAGAGTTGTGGGAGGCTGTCTCCTGTATCCTTTCCCTTCGGGATGTTGTTGTCTCTCCAAGAAGTCAGTGCAATTAGCCCTTACCACAGGAAGAGCTGGCTTAGGAGTAATACTTTTGGAAAGGTGTTTAATAATGGCTATAAAATGATATCTTCTGCAAGAATAGTTTTATTCCTTTTATAATCAGGGATATATGCCTCTAAAGAATGCAAGATGGAAAGTGTACCAAAGAAAGTAAAAATCATCTTCAGTTTCAGCATGCTGGGCTAACTAAAGTTCACATTTTCATGACATTCCTTCTAGACATACCTCTGGGCCCAAATGCATGTATGTATATAATTTTATAAAATAAAATGTCAACTCTACACAAGCTTTAAAACTTGCTTTTTAAAAACTTGACAGTGTGATACAGATACTTTAATTTCTGTCTTTATATTCCAGTGTGTGTTTTTGTGTGGGTACATGTGTGTATAGATGTGTGTGTATACTTGCACGTGCATAGCCTAGTTTATTTAATCAGTATACTATTGAAGGATATTTAAGTCATTTTCACAATTTTATTATGACGATTACTTTCAGTACATTTTCCTTCTCACTCATGTTTTCAAATTTATAAAATTTTCTTAAATGTAAGAAGACAAGTGTGGTGGCACACGCTTACAATCCCAGTGCTCAGGAGGCTGAGGCAGGAGGATCACTGCAAGTTTGAGGCCAGCCTGGGCTTCATAGTGAGTTCAAGGTCAGCCTGAACTACATAGCAAGACCCTGTCTCAAAACAAACAAACAAACAAATAAATATTATGCATAAATAAATCTCAGTGGGCCCGGGAGGAGCCATGGAGAGGCATCCTGTGTCACTGAACCTTAAAGTCAAGGGAGGAACACAGGTGAGCCAGGCAGAGCCAAGCATGAGAATGAGTTGGAATTTTGGAGCAAGGAAAACCATCTAAAAGTTGGGGAGTGACCTGACCAGGTTTTTATTTTTAAAAATATCAAGAAGCCTATTTCCAGGTTTTGTGGAGCCTAAGATTTATACAATTTGGGAAAAGACAAAATTATGAGGTGTAAATGTGATTATTTATTTAGAATTTTTAAAAAATCACAACAATTACACATGTTTAAAAGTTGACTGGTAACATGAATACCAAAATATAGAAAAATAATACAGTATTTTTATTAATGTCCAGATAATGCTTTCCCCCTACATTTTGGGGCTACATTCTCCAGCCCTCACCCCCCCACCCCTACCCCTGCCCCATACTGGGGGTTGAACTCAGGACCTTGCACTTGCAAGGCAAGCACAGTGCCACTGAGCTAAATCCCCGGCCCTTACATTCTCTTTTAACATTTCTTCATGTGACAAGAATTTTATAGTATTATTTTATTTTAAAATACTTTTATTAGTATATGCTTGCAGTACGTAATGATTACCTTCATTGTGGGGAATTGGTACATGTGTATAACATATCACAATGCATTTTTGTCTCCTTCCCCTCCAGCCCCATTTTTTAAGAAACTTTTTTTACTGGCATCTGATTCATTTATTTATTTTATATGTCTTTATCAAGTTAACTATCCTGAACACACATTAACAGCCAGACCAACAGGCTAAAAAACATATAAAACATGTAAGACAATTATACTTTTAGATACATTGTCCACCCTGGGTTACAATAACTTTTTTCTCTTTTTTTCTGTTGTCTCCTATAAGAGAAACTATGTGATATTTAAGCTTCTGTGTCTGATTTACTTCATTTAACATTATGATCTGCAAGTGGACTCATTTTCCTATAAATGCCTAAAGTTTATCCCTTATGGTATGCTATTAGTATACCATAGAGTAGTATACTATTGTGTAAAAATACCACATTTTCTTTATCCATTCATCTGTGGATGGAGATATAGGTCACTTCCAAGATTTAGCTGCTATAAACATGAGTATGCATGGATCACTGCAATATGATGTCTTTAAATCTTTTAAGAAGATACCTAGCAGGGGAATAACACTAGGTCAAATGAATTTCTATTTTTATTTTTTTGAGGACTCTCCATATTGATTTCCATAGTAATTGTACCAGTTTACATTCCCAACAATGAAGAAGGGCTCCTTTTCCCCTTGAAGCCTCACCAGTATTTGTTATTGTTTGACTTTTAGATGATAGCTATCCTTTGCGGAATGAGATGGGATCTCAGTATTGTTACTGCTTGTTTTGTTTTGTTTGGTGGTATCGGGGATCAAACTCAGGACCTTGCACTTGCCAGGAAGGCATGGCACCACTGAGCTACATCCTCGGCCCTTGTATATCAATGTTTGAGGTATGGACATTTTTTTTTTTTTTTTTTGGTACCGGGGATCAAACTCAGGACCTTGTGCGTGTGAGGCAGGCGCTGGAACCACGGAGCTAAATCCCCGGCCCTGGACGTTTTGATTACATCACTTATGTCTGTCTAGGAACAAAGGATGCCTTTCAATTGTCTGATGTTCTCTTCAATTTCCTTTTTTCAGATTACTGTAATTTTCTTTGTAGAGGTCTTTCCTTTTCTTAGCTAACTTAATTTCTAAGTATTTAATTTTTCTTGGTGCTATTGTGAATGGTATTTTTTCCTAATTTCTTTCTTTGTGGTTTCAGTCTTGATTTCTGTATATTGATTTTGCCTCCTGCTACATTGCTGAATTTTGTTACTAATTGTATGAGTCCACCAGTGAAATTTTTTGGTCTTCTAGGTAAAGGATCATGTCATTTGCAAATGATGATAATTTAATTCCTTTTCTATGCATATCCTTTTTATTTCTTTTTCTTTTTTGGTACCGGGGATTGAACTCGGGTCCTTGCGCTTGCACAGCAGGCGGCGAAACCACTGAGCTAAATCCCAGGCCCTTCTCTCTTTCTTTCTATCACTCTCTTCCCTAAGCTGGGAATCAGGAGACTCTTCTCAAGATGCCAAGGAGGAGCTTCCTGGCCCAGCTGTGGAAATAGGGGAAGGGAATGTAGGCTTTTGTTTTTCTTTCTAGCTCCTTGTGCTCACTTCTCAGGTCCTTGTTGTTTTCACGTTTGTTTGTTGTACTTTTTGGAAATTAACCTGG